CCTGTGGTGTCTTTTGAACTTCTTACCTGAGTCGTGACAGTCTTTATCTGTGGTCAGAAAAAAAAATTTTTTTAACAAAAGGAAATTTTCTGAAGGATATCTGTGCCCATGTGGGTGGTAGAATTAGTGTGGGAAAATATAGGCTGGAATTAGAAATTACTTTTTCTATTAGAAACTTCTTGGGCATTTTGCTAATTCATGTTGATATTTGAAATTGAGCCTTTATGATAAACTGATTCTATAATGTCCTTGGAAGCTAAGTCACAGAATGTCAGGTTTTGCACCTGTTGTGGTTACCAAGCTAATGCTTCTTCATGCTTGGGCTCATTAACTTTGTGCTGCCTGAAGTCCTTGTTCACAGTTGGTTTTCTGCATTAGATAAAACTGTGGACCCCACCTCTGTAAGCCCTCATGAGCCCTCAGGTGTTGGGGAGTTGCAGATTCCAGGGTCACGCCAGACTGACTACACACAAGTTGTTGAAACTCTCTGGCCCTCTGTCAGCCCCACCCACTTTAAGACACTGTGATGCTGTCATCTATGAGGAAATAAAATTGATGAGTTAAAGTGATTCATAAAAAGGATAGAATTTACAACAAGTTTCACTGATGTGGATATAATCTTTAAATCTTACATAGGTGTGCAGACCTTAGAGGTTTTAGGTAGGAGTGGAAACCTTCCATTTCAAGTTCTTGAGTGAAGAAAAGCTTCTTTCAGTCACTGACCTTTGAAAAGTAAGGACATCCCCTGGCTGCTGTAGCTCAGTGGATTGAGCACGGGCTGCGAACCGAAGGGTCGCTGGTTTGATTCCCAGTCAGGACACATCCCTAGGTTGTGGGCCAGGTCCCCCCCCGCTGGGGGCCATGTGAGAGACAACCACACATTGGTGTAACTCGCCCTCTCTTTCTCTCTCTCTCCTCCTCTTTCTAAAAATAAATAAATAAAAAATTTTTTAAAAAGAAAGAAAAGCAAAGTAAGGATATCCAAGACAGCCTCAGCTGGGAGGCACTGTGGAAGGTGCTTGCCCTGTGCTCAGGTAACTCTCCTAGCTGAGCCTCTGCCCTCTGTGAGCCAGGAGGGAGGCTGGTTGTTTGGGAGGTGTGGGAAGTTAAAGCTTCTACTGTCCCCAAAGAACACAGTCCAGCCTCAGAGGGACCGTGTTGAATTCTCATGGCTCTAAGTTTTTTTTTTGTCAAAGAGTGTGATTTCACCATATGTTCTTTAACAACCACAGCTCAGGGTCATGATATTTTCAAGGAAACTTCCATATTTAAATACAGTTAGGTTTTTATTATAAAAATGCACATTATGTGGCAAAATATTAAAACAGTGCCCTGGCTGGTGTGGCTCGGTGAATTGAGTGCCCAGCCTGTGAACCAAGGGATCGTTGATTTGACTCCCAGTTAGGGCACATGCCTGGGTTGCAGGCCAGGTCCCCAGTTGGGGTAGTGTGAGAGGCAACCACACATTGATATTTATCTCCCTCTCTTCCCCTCTCTCTAAAAATAAATTTGAAAAATCTTAAATAAAAACAAAGAAGAAAAACAAGTTTTTTTCTCCTTTCCCAGAGCTTTGTTTGTCCTTAAAGTGATTTTCTGTACATGTTCAAGGTGTATTATGCCCCTTGATATATGGGTGATAATGAAGGAGGTTGGCAACATGGGCAAAGTGTGCACAGTCTTTTCACGTAGGTGACAGACTGGAATCACTGCACACAGGTGGCCAGAGAACAGGAAGTTGGCAACACTCCCACTTAGTAGGGCCAGCTGGCCTGGCCTTAGAGCCATGAGAGCCCTTGATCAGGGTCAGAACTTTCTGTGCCCTTCTCCCTGCTCCTCCAAACTCTTCTGGGGACTGGCATTGCCTGGCTGCTGCTAACAGCTATCCTGGCTCACCAGAGCATAGATCAGTGACCACCTCAGCACACTGCCAGGCATTTGTTTTCCACCAGCATGATCTCTAAGCTGTCCAAGGCTCTGGTCTATTTGTTCCTCTATAGGTATGTCTAAGCATAAATACATAGAATCAACTTGCTTTTCTTCTTACCAAGTACATAATATACCTTGGACATATTTATTGGGTTGGCCAAAAAGATGGCTCTCATAGTGTTGTCTTTAACTTCATTTGAAACAGTTCTGGTAGATTGTATTGTGACATCTGTCATATCAGCGTGTACAAAACTTGTCAAAATTGGTGAAGTTTTGTGTAGTTATTTTAATAATGAAGATAGAAAAATATAAGCAACATTTTCAGCATATTATGCTTTATTATTTCAAGAATGGTAAAAACGCAACTAAAACACACAAAAAAAGATTTGTGTATTGTACGGAGACTGATTGCTGTGACTGATTGAAAGTGTGAAAAATGGTTTGTGAAATTTTGTGCTGGAGGGTTCTCCTTGGAAAATGCTCCACACACAGGAAGACCAGTTGAAGTTGATAGTGATCAAATTAAGACATTAATTGAGAGCAATCAACATTATACTATGAGGGAGATATCAGACATGCTCAAAATATCCATATCAATAGTTACTGTTGAAAATGAAAAATGTGTCTTTTATTTCATGCAAAATGCTAAACAAACTTTTTGGCCAACCCAGTATACAAGGTCTGTCCAGAAAAAGTCCAGCCATTGTTAATATGAGAATGGTTTGCGTGACTTCAGTGTAACCTGGCAGCCAAGGAGAGTGGACTGGAATGTGCATGGGTGAACAATGACGTTTCATTATACTAGTTAGCAGGTACAGTAGTTGTCATTGAGTGAGCAAGTGTACTGTGTGGTTGTCACATTGAAATGACTGAGCAAGTAGAGCAAGGAATCTACATCAAATTTTGCGTTAAGCTTGAACATCCCTTCATGGAAACTACTTGGGTGAATCTGGCCACAGCTTATGGGCAACTGGGGATTGGCAGCATCATCATGACACCATCACCCATTCACACATAATGTCTTGTACAACTTGTTAGCGAAACATAGTTCACACAGGTGATTTAGCCCCCTCTACAGCCCAGATTTGGCACTCCTGTGACTTTCAGCTTTTCCCAAAACTAATATCACTTCTGAAAGGGAAGAGATTTCAAACCATAAATGAGATTCAGGAAAATATGTTGGAGCAGATGATGGCAATTGGGAGAACTATGTGAGGTCCCAAGGTGCCTACTTCGAAGGGGACTGAGGTGTCAGTCCTGTGTACAGTGTTTCTTGTATATTCTTCAATAAATATCTCTATTTTTCATATTACATGGGTGGATACCTTCTGAAAAGACCTAAAACCAGGACAGATTTCTCCTTCTTTTTCATAGTCGCATATGTCTGGGTGTATAATTTAAGTAGTTTCCTAGGATGGGCATTTATTTCCAGCTTTGCTATTATGGTACTTTAAATTCAAAGAAATCTTTGTACATGTAGCTCTGTGTTCTTGTATGGGTGTAATAACCAAAAAGTGAACATACATGGTCAAAGGATAGTAAATGTTGATAGATACTGCCAAAAACTAATAAACCAGTTTCTATAGGGCATCATTTATACTGGGCCCACAGCTCCAGTTCTGAAAAACAAGCTGAGAGCACATTTCTGAGACCACAATATAAACTTTTAATTTCCCCTTCTCTGGCAGGTGGGCATCAACTACCAGCCCCCCACCGTTGTTCCCGGGGGAGACCTGGCCAAAGTGCAGAGGGCTGTGTGCATGCTGAGCAACACCACTGCCATCGCCGAGGCCTGGGCTCGCCTGGACCATAAGTTCGACCTCATGTATGCCAAGCGAGCCTTTGTGCACTGGTACGTGGGGGAGGGCATGGAGGAAGGGGAGTTCTCCGAGGCCCGGGAGGACCTGGCAGCTCTGGAGAAAGATTATGAAGAGGTGGGCGTGGATTCCGTGGAAGCGGAGGCTGAAGAAGGGGAAGAATACTGAGTGGGAGAGTTGTGCTGGCGCCCATCCCTTTGTGTTACCCCCCACTATAACTGTTACAAGATATGTTTACCTATTAAAGTTTCTGTATTGAGGCATCATTTGTGTCTTGTTCTGCACTTTGACAAATTCTACATCCAGATACTTACAAGTGTTTCTAGGGGAAAAACGTTTACATTTTGTTTTTTGAAGATTTTCTTTTAGAGGGGGAAGGGAGGAGGAGGGGAGAAACATTAGTGTGAGAGGGAAACGTGAACTGGTTGTTTCCTGCAAGCCCTCATTTGGAGACCTGGCCTGCAGCCCTGACAGGGAATCAAACCAGCAACCTTTTGTTTCAAGGCGGATACTCAATCCACAGAGCTACACCAGCCAGGGCAAAATAATTTCCTTTCAAACTAAAAAAATTAAGCAAGTCTGTGTTTAGTTACCGCATTACTCCCAGAAAGAAGGCTTCAAAAGGCATGGCTGAGGAAAGGACGACGAAATGCTTTAGTTATTTTTAAATTCAAACATTAAGTGTCCCGTACTGTGATGTTCTTTGAAAAATGGAAGAGTAACACAGTTTTTCCTTAACTGAAGTGTGTCTTCTCACTCTGTTTTGTGGGCGTTGCCCAGCACTAACCCAGTTTTCGACCTCCGTTTTCAGAAAGGCCCTTAGCTTTTTCCCTTTCAGATTCTTGCCGGAAGTCGCTAGCACAAAATCTTTTGCCTGTCACATTTTCTAAAAACGTAATCAGTAGCCATTGTCCAACCAATTAGAAGCACCTTCACAGAACTGAGCACTGTTTTTAGCCACGTTTGAACTCATGGCCCTGCCCCTTTAATCTTGGCGCTGGAGTTTATTTTTGTTGCAACCTTGGCCTCTTGAGACTGCCTGCATGGGTCCAGCCCCAGGGCACCACCCGTTGACCGCCAATAATCAGACCCGAAAGGACAAAGAAGGCCGGCTAATTTTGCGACGGCGCTTGCGTCCTGTCGCTGGGCGACGCGAGCCCAAGCTAACCCCACGCGCTCTCAGCTTCCGGAGCCTGTCCCGCCCCCTCTGGGCGAGCGCCCCTTGCTTCCTAGTCTCTGTGGTACCAACTTCCGCCCCTCTCCACACCTCGCGAGACTCCGGCGGCTTAGCAATGGCGAGATCGTGAGTGCCGCTGATAGGAGTCAGGAGAAGGGGGCTGGGACGGGGCTCAAGCGAGATCTGGCAGTGGGAGACTAGGCGAGACAGGGCCACCTGAACCGGAGCGGCGGCTGGGGGCTCGGGCCCCTATGGGGTCGGATAGCCGCCCGCGACCAAGCTTCCGCCTCTTCCCCAGATGCCGCGTCACTGCTCCGCCGCCGGCTGCTGCACACGGGATACGCGTGAGACGCGCAATCGCGGCATCTCCTTCCACAGGTCAGCGCGCGTGCGTGCTGGCTCACAAAGGTTGATGTGCGCCGGTGCCCGTTTTACTAGCTTGAAGCTAGGATTGCGCGTGCGCCGTTCTGTGGTTGGGCGGAGGCTTGAACTTGCGGGTGGCAGAGGTTGAAGCGGGCGGTCCAAGTGGGACTGAGAGGAAGGATACACGTCCATCACTCTTGGATCCTCTGCTCTGCGACTCTTACCTGCTAGGTGACGCTGAGCAAATTGCGCCTCCTGTGAGGCCTCAATTTCTTCGTCTGTGCCTGGGTGGGTGGTGCTTAGCTGGAATGATTGAAGGGAGGTCTGGCAGCATGTGCAGGGCCAACTGTTCATCTGAGGAGGTTAGGCATCATGGCCTCAGGGCTTCAGGCAGCCTGGGATTCACAGGTTTGTGGCTTTACAGACTTCCCAAAAAGGACAACCCAAGGCGAGGCTTGTGGCTGGCCAACTGCCAGAGGCTGGACCCCAGCGGCCAGGGCCTGTGGGACCCAGCATCTGAGTACATCTACTTCTGCTCCAAACACTTCGAGGAAAACTGCTTTGAGCTGGTGGGAATCAGGTGAGCCTCCTTGCCAGCCAGCATTGGGCATCTGTAGGGCCTGATGAGGAGGTCCCTGGCACACCTCACACAAGGACAGGCAGACCAGAGTTCAGGGATGGCTGCCTCTTCCCAGCGCTACCTCAGTTTCCTCTTCTGACATGAGGACAGTAAGACCCACTCCTTCGGAATGACTATGCCAGTGACACAGGAGAAAAACATGAGCTTTTCTAGAGGGGGTTTCTCAGCACCCCAGTCTTCCCACCAAGTCCACAATAATTCTTTTTGGCTGGGCAGCCCAGTTCTAGTGGAACTTTCCCCATGCACCTTAATTTTGAGGAGCCTTGAGGGAAGAGTTTGGTGTAACTCTGGCTAACCTGGCATTCCCCAAACTAACCATCTACTAGCACTGGGGAATGTGCTCCAGGGTGCTGGAGGGCATTCTGACGAAGTCCCTGCAGGTCAGCCGGGGGTGGCAGTGTTGTCCTTCTGTCATCCAGGCTGCTTTTCCCCACAGTGGCTATCACAGGCTGAAGGAGGGTGCAGTTCCCACAATATTTGAGTCTTTCTCCAAGTTGCGCCGGACAACCAAGACCAAGGGGCACAGTTACCCACCTGGTCCCCCCAACGTCAGCCGGCTTCGGCGATGCAGGAAGCGGTATGTGCTATGGGTGGAGGTGTGCCCCACTCAACCCAGTTTTGAGGTACTGGGCTATAGAGTGTCTCCCAGCAGCAATGGTGGACAGGGTCCTGAGCCTGTGGAGCAGGCTGGTGCCCCTGGCCGGGAGGGCTGGTGAAGTGGGATCTGGCAAGCCCTTCACCTGACCTGTCAGTCTCTCACCCCACAGCTGCTCTGAGGGCCGAGGGCCCACAACTCCTTTTTCTCCACCTCCACCTGCTGAGGTCACCTGCTTTCCTGTGGAAGAGGTCTCGGCACCTGCTGCTTTGCCTGCTTCCCCCACTGGGAGGCTGGAGCCTGGCCTCAGCAGCCCCTTCTCAGACCTCCTGGGGCCCCTGGGTGCCCAAGCAGATGAAGCAGGCTGCAGCACCCAGCCCTCACCGGAGCGGGAGCCAGAACGCCAGCCGTCCCCTCTTGAGCCAAGGCCTGTCTCACCCTCAGCCTACATGCTGCGCCTCCCGCCCCCCGCCGGAGCCTACATCCAGAATGAGCACAGCTACCAGGTGGGCAGTGCCCTGCTCTGGAAGCGGCGGGCTGAGGCTGCACTTGATGCCCTGGACAAGGCTCAGCGCCAGCTGCAGGCCTGCAAACGGCGGGAGCAGAGGCTACGGCTGCGGCTAACCAAGCTGCAGCAGGAACGAGCGCGGGAGGAGCGGGCACGGGAGAAGCGGGCTCAGGCAGATGCCCGCCAGACTCTGAAGGAGCATGTGCAGGACTTTGCCATGCAGCTGAGCAGCAGCATGACCTGAGCGAGGGGCCACTGAACTCAGAACTGATTGAGGGGCTGCAAGCCTCTTCCTTAGAATCCACCTGAAAAGGGACCTCATGTGAGCTGCATCCACCAGACCTACCAGGTGCCCTAATAAAGTGGTTTCTAGCAGGTTCTATATCTGGTTCAGCTGGGGCTGGGGCCCCTTCCTCCATACCAGGCTTGTTCTACCAGACAATGGCTAAGCCCTGAGTGAGCTCAGACCCTGGAGTCCAAGCTCTGGGCTGTGGAGAGCGGAATCCTGCTCTTGCCCACTCCTCCCTGTGCAGCTCCATGCCCCACAGGGTTCTGGGGGACAGGGTGGTGTTTGCAGAGGCCAGGGGCAGCACTCAGCACCAGTGCCTTGGTACCTGAAATTGTGTTGACTTGAGCAAGCTGGTTTCTTTGAAGACATTCCCAAAACCAATCCAGACTGTTCCTTTGCGGGGACACAACAGACTCAGTCTGCACAACCTGAGTTCTGGCCTGAAGGCCAGCCTCCCATTCATAACTGGGCCTATCTCATCTGAAAACAGACAAGAATGATTTCTGACCTGGGGTGGCTATGCTTGGCAAGTAGGGAGCCTTGAGAAATGGCATTTCTGGTCCTTGGAGGTTTAGAGAAGTGGGGGATGCATAAGTCTTGGCTTCAACCTGTTTCCCCATTCTTAATTTGACTGGAATGTAGGCCTCCCTTCATCTGTAATCATAACAAACAGCTTAGCACATGGGGCAGTTTTAACTCCACAGGTGACCTCACCCTGCTGGGCCACAAACACCCCAGAACAGCTGAATTATTTCTAGTTCTGTGAACTACTACAGTATTCTGAAATTTGCTTTTTAGAGCCCTAGGTGTGTGGCTTTGTTTATTCATAGCATGTCTAGGAAAGATCATCCAGTTACAAGTGGCCAGTTACAAGGGTCCCAAATGGTCCACTGCACAGCAGGGCTTACAGATCATTCCCCAGGGTTTCCAGGCTGGTTTTCTTCCCCAGGCTGTTTTCTGGCTTGCCTAAGGGCCGCTACTGGGGCTCCTCATCCATGCTCTTCTGACAAGGGCTATGGAGTGGCAGGTGGCACTCCATCATGGGACACAGAGGAAGTGAGCTCTAAGGCAGGGAAGCGATCACTCCCCACTACTAAGTGGATTACTGGCAGTTGGAGAAGGGATTCTTATTCTCAGAATGGTGCCTTCCACTTTGGAGTGAAATCGCACAAGGCCCCATCAGGGGACAGGGAAGGGTGCGTTCCATCCTGAGCAGGAGCCTATGTGTAGGGGTGAGGGAGGTCATCCCAGCTTACTCCCACGAAGGGAGAAGCCAGCCTGGATTCCTCCACAGCCCCTTCCCCCATGTGTCTAGGCAGCCCCAGGTAGGAGCTAGAAGTTGGCTGACATGCACAGAGAACCAGACAACACACCAATCCCACAACTGGGCCAAATGGCCAGTCCACAGCTTTGGGAGAGCCAACCATGCCAGCAAGGTGTGAGTACTAGGGACCACTGCTGTGGCTTTAATGGAGGCGTGTCTATGACAGAATACTAAGGGACAGGGACCTGGGGGGCATCTTTGCTGACTTCTCGGTGCAGTCCAGGGCCCTGATGCGCACATGGGTGTGTGGGATCTGGAAGCCCCTCTGGAGTAGAGACCCAGTCCAGAGTGGTTGACCCTGTGGGCTGGGAGCTGACCTTAGGGCCCTTCACACCCCAAAATTCATCTTAAAAGGCATGAAAATTCATCTTGAATCAGACCACATGCCTGTCACTATTGCCCGCATCACACTCTGGGTGACAGGAACAGCCCTTTCACCAACCTTGGTGAGGGTGAGGGTGCTATATGGACCCTGCGTTGGAGAGACCTCAGCATGGCTGTGGCCAGATCCATAAGCCATGCTGGGTCCCTCCTCAGTCAGGGCCCCAAAGCCAGCTCCCTGGTAAGCTCTCCCCACTGCTGGGCCCTTGCCAGGACCCCTGTCTTCTGCTGTGTCATCACTGAACCCTAGCTTCCCACCCCAGGAGAGGGTGCCAGCCAGAGGTTCTGCTTCACCATCTGCTTCCTGTGGGGCCTGTGTCGTCAGTAGTGAAATGAAGCACTTGGAGCCCCTCATGTCCTCTCAGCTCTCTTCTGAGGCTCTGGGTACCTGTGCCTTGGCTAGTAGGTCTGACCACTCCATCGCAGGCAGTTTTTGTGGAGGACAGGGCAGGCCCGGTCATTCTCCATTCGTGGGCTGGCACCACCTGGGCTCTCATATGTCAGCACCCAGCTCTGCGCACTGCTTGTCGGAGATGTGGGAGGCCAGGGAGTCTATGATGTCAAGCAGCAGCTGCTGACTCAGGGAGCGCAGCGTGGGCAACTTGGAGACCTGCGGGAGGTGACCAAAAGGCCAGAACAGGATGGAACTGAATTCATGAGAGGATTGGGAGGGCTCCACAGACGAACTGCTTGGTTATCCCCAGGGCCCACTGCTACAGAAGACAGCCCTATTCTAGGCACCTTCCCCCCACCTGCTGCCGTGGGAGAGTGGGCCCGGAGGATGAGGGGTGAGCAGGGCGTGCTGAGCCAGGAGGGCCCTGACCTTCGTGAACTGGTGCACGATGATGTGCAGGCAGTGCCGCTTCATGTCCAGCGCCTGCGTCTTGTCAGCCGCCTCCAGGATCTGGAACAGCAGATTCCTTGAGGTGCTGCCCCACTTCTCACCCACCTGCCCAGGTGTCGGGAGATCAGTAGGCACCAGGGGTACTACCTGCAGCACATTCTGCACCGTCACGTTCATCTCCAGGTTCTGCTTGCAGTATGCCTGCAGCCGATTGTTGTAAAAGCCATAGTAGTAGGGGGCCGCGAACAGGTAGCTGGGGAGCTGGTTAAGGAGCTGCCGCCAAAGGAACTGTCCTCCCTTGCACCACCCTCCTCCCCAGGGAGAGTGCATCTGGAGCCCTGGCCTGCCAAGGGCAGAGGAGAGCTGAGACTGCACCTGCTCAGAACCAGGGGACCTGCCCCACCAGGAGGGTCTGGCAAGGGCTCCAATCTGGGCAGAGCACTGACTTGATCTCTACACAGACTTTGAATCCCTGAGAGGTCAAAGTCCCCATCAACACCAAAAAATACCACAGCACTTTCTCTCCAGGAAAACACCTATGTGCATCTTTGCAGAACTGTCTGCAGTCTCCCGGAGCCCGAAAGTGCGCCCTCACACCCCATGCTCAGACCCTCACTGAAGTGACACAATCCGGGATCACGCTACATCCACTTGCTAACCTGTCCCATAGAGCAATGACTGATCCCTTACTCTGAGCATTCATGACAGTCAAGAATCCATCTATCCCTCCTGATTACAAACCCCGTAGTGCTGGCCGAGCAACTGTTTCAGGGAAGTCTGGGAGAGCACAAGGCTCCAGGAAAGGAAATCCTCTGGAAATCACTCAGCCAGGATCAGTCAGCTGGGTCGCCCAACGTGGGTGCTGGGAGCCCATGATGACCTGGGAGCACCCTTGGGGATGAGGATGCAGCGAGTCCTCCGGAGGCATGTTGACCTCGCCGTAGTAGATGTAGCGTAGCATGGACTCGAAGGCCTGCCTGCTGGGCACCATCTCCCCAATGGAAATGTTTACCTGCCCGTCCTCAGGCATGAAGGACCGGAACATGGCCTCAAAGTAGCTGCAGACGGGGTGGCAAAGGCCTGGCTCTCAGCAGATGCAGCCAGTGCCTGGCCTACACTGCCCAACAGCTGCACCCACACCCACCTGGAACGAGCGGCCAGAATGGCCTTGTGGGCCGGCCGAGGGTGCCCATCCAGCAGCAGCGTGATGTCACAGAACTCGGCACCTGCCCCCTCCAGGTATGCCTTCATGTCCTGGATCAGAGATGTGCCTGGTGGGGCATGAAGGGACCCTGAGCACAGCCTCCTGAACATCTGTCCCTTCTGTGGCCCTAAATGGACCTCCCCCAGACCAGAGGTCTCATTCTGGTCCTTGAGGTACTGCCAGGCCCTGTCCTCAGCTCCCAACACAGGCCTATCCACCCCCCGAGTCTTATCCCTCAGACTCAGCCAACTGAGCCCTTCTCTGGGCCTGGCATGACCTGTGTGCTTGCTGCGTGTCACCTGGAGCCAGCTCCCAGGGGCAGCACAGGACCCAGGGAGAGTCGGGGATGAAGGAGCCTGTGCCCTCCCTTCCCAGGCTAGGGGGAAACAGGGAGGCACTGGTGGCAGCTGAAGTCTGCAGGCTGCACTTACCCCTCAGTGGGCCCCAGACTTGGATACCCCAAGAGGTTTGATGACTAAGCACTGTGACCCTGAGCACATGGCTCACTTCAGAAGCTGTCAGATCTGATGTCATTCAGGGCAGGCACCCTTGCCAGAGAGGTGCCCCGTGTCCCCTCCAGAAAGGGACTCAGGAGGTCCCCTGCCCTCGGGCACACAGACTGCTGTACAAAACCCTGTGGGATGGGCGTTCTTCCTTCACTTGAGCCTGAACTGCCTCCCTCTTTGCCCCTGTCCCTGTACCCAGAGAGCACTCTGGGGTCCTCCCCACACCCACCCCTCCACCCCTCCACCCCTGCCTGAGCGTCTGGCGGGTGATTCCATGCCTCCCAAGTCTCGACCAAGATGAATGCCACCTAGCCAGCCACTGGCAGGGAAGGGACCAGGCTCCCTACCGATGTCCACGGGCTGGTCTGAGGGGGTACGGGGGGGCGGCTGCTGCTTCCGCCGAACAATCTCCACAATCAGTGGGGATGAGAGGTGCTCGAACTCCTTCATCATGATCACCTGGTTGAAGTGGGACTCCTTCACCACGAAGTTCAGGCAGTGTTCCTGGGATAGATAGGCCAGGCAGGCGGGCATGGTCACGCCTTGGCCCCAACAAGGCACCAGACTGGGCAAGGGGCTTGCAGCAGTGGGCATGGCGGGCTGCGATGCACCTTCAGCTGGCCCAGCTGCAGCCTGGCGGCACTCTCGCACACGACCAGCACGTTCTGCAGGTCCACGGAGGCCTCGATGTACTGCCGACACAGCTGCTCCAGGCGGCACAGCTGGAAGCTCAGCGCCAACTTGTACACGTCCATGATGAGCAGCACGTCCTCCACGTGGCCTGCACCCAAGAGCTCCCTAAGCATTGCTCAGGCAATGGGGAGGGG